AGTTCTCGTCTGACACTAACGATGGTTTGACCTCGAATATAAACATCACGGCAGTTTCACTCGCGGCACTGACTGGGCTCGGGCAAGCGAGCAACCGCGACTCTGACGACGACGAGACGCTGAATGTCGACACCGGTTCGAAATGTTATGCTTATGTTGAAATCATTCTGCTGACAAAAATGTCACGCCCGGAAGAAAGGCCGTGTGTGTGTGTGGATGATGGGATGTGTCAAACAATACTGGATGTGTCTGTATGTCTAGCAACGGATGTGTGAATGAGGAGGCGCATTGTCGGCAAATATCCTCCGGGTGGAGGTGGTGGCGGCTATGCACGTGGCTGCCTTTGATGCAGCACTGTGTGGAGGCAGCAGCGAGCGTTGGTGGATGACACGCAGATGATGATGATGTTGTTGTTGTGAAACTACCTTCCCGTGGGCGTCGAGGAGGAGGCGTAACCCTGGCTCGCCAGGAGAAGGCGGTACAGTGAAAACATGATGTGGACTCCACGTGTTCCGTTTGTCGGAATAGAGCGTCTGAAGTTGTCTTTCCGACAGACCTTTTCTTCACCTGAGGACGGCTGCTTGCGTTGTGGCCGACACGTCGTGAGAATTGTATTTTATAATGTTTTATTTTTATTATTGTATTATTTCCCTTCTACGTGACTTTACCGAAAGAACCAAGAAGATGAATCCCTGCAGTCACGAAAGCTTTAAATCGAAAAATATATATTTTTTGAATAATTGTTGTAATTTTGTGTTACTCGTTTATCCGTTGATTCGGGGTGCTCGTGTTGGCCCAACTGGGTCTTCGACGCTTCGCGTAACGCTGCCGCAAACTCCCCAGAGTTGCGCCCCCCGTTTGTTCCTCTGCATCAGTGGATTCTTCTTCTCCTTCTTAACCTGGGGTGGACGCAGCCCCCTGGGGGGTACGAGATGCCCTTTCTGGGTGTGCGAGAAGTGGCCAGATTTATATTTTTTAAGGCAAATCGTCGAAAACACAAATTTTGCATCAAACAATATACAATGTTGATAAATACAATGTTGTGTATTTATAAACATTGCACTTTGGTGCAAGGCTGCAGTAAAGGTTAAGAACCACTGGTCTACATGAACAGAGAGGGATCACGTTTTAACGCATCCCATCAGTCACACGGCCGTCCTGATGTTCGTGGTTTGTTTTCAACAGCAGCGGCAACGTTGCTTTGAACGCAACCAAATCTCCCCGAACCGTTTTCGACATTCAAGTGTCTCGTCAGCACAGGCAAGGCTCCCTTGAACCAAGGCTGCTGCTGATGAACCGTCCGGATGTCTTTTCGGCAAGGAGCCATCTTTCTCTCCCTCTCTGTGTTAGATATAAGTCCAAGCTGGACGCGACACTCGATATTAATAATAATAACAAGAGACCACAGTAATCCCGCACGCAGTGACGAAGGGTGCATAAGTCACACCGACTCGGCACGCTGTCTGACGCCTCGCGCTCATTGCTCCATCCGCAACCGACTTGAAGAATATCTGCCCTCATTAGCCTCTCGCTGCACCTGCATACGCTGCCCGCGCGCAGAGCTCTGAGTGATGGTCAATTCAGAGGGCATCCAGCCACGTGGAGTCCGAACAAAAAGCCCCCTGCCATTGACGACCGCGCACGGGCGCTATCAATCAGGCTGTAATATCAGACGAATCGATAGCAAATAGGATTGCGTCTCTCGTCTTGCTGGAGACGATTTGATTCAGCGGACGGCTGACGCAGTTGAGCACGCGCTGTCACGATACCGAGGCATTCGTTGAGTTTAGCATTCTACTGTGCGCGCGTGTTTGTGTATGCTTTGTGTATGTGAACTGCGTGTGTTTGTGTGTGTTGTGTATGTGAACTGTGTGTGTGTGTTGTGTATGCATTGTGTGTGTGTGCTGTATGTGTGTGTTGTGTTTGCATTGTGTATGCGAACTGCGTGTGTGTGTGTGTTGTGTATGCATTGTGTATGTGAACTGCGTGTTTGTGTTTAGTAAGCATTGTGTATGTGGACTGCGTGTTTGTGTTGTGTGTGCATTGTGTATGTGAACTGCGTGTTTGTGTTGTGTGTGCATTGTGTGTGTGTACTGCATGTGTATGTGTGTGGTGTGTATGGGAGCGCCGTGGCTAGGAGATGTTAACTCCCTCGCCTGCTATGCAGGAGGTCGTGGGTTCGATCCCAACCCGGGGGACGCCTGCTGCTGTGTATTTGCAGTTTGCGGTGTCTCTCTCTTCCTGTGGTCGCGTGGATTTTTCTCCGGGTCCTCCGGTCTTTCCCTCCACATTTAGAAACGTGTCTTTAGAGTATTTGGTTGTTATATAGTTCCACATGATACAAGCCGCTTGGTTGAGCTATCATTTGTGGCCAGGTCGCTTCTGAAAAATAGCTATGTAGCCCAGTGAGCCTTACCTGGTAACATAAACATAGTTTATAGTTTTGTGTATTGTGTATGTGTACTGCATGTGTGTTGTGTATGGATGGTGTATGTTTACTGTATGTGTGTGTATTGTGTATGTTGGATTTCTTTCGCACCGTACCTCATCGGAGGTGCAGACACGTAGTATGTGGACCACGTGTGTGTGTGTTGTGTGTAGATTGTGTATGTTCACTGCAAGTGTGCGTGTGTATTGTGTGTATGTGGAGAGCGGTAGTGCAGCGACGATTATCTGAACCAGTCCTGGGCCTCCCCTAGGTCCACTCAGCCTCAAATCAATACCCGGTGTGGTGTGTAAACAGCGCCACTGGGGAGACAAAGGCGGCCGGGCGTGGCGCTGGCCACCCACCCCCTCGCACGCCTCGCCAGCCTCCGTAGGTGCTGCTACTCGCTAGCACCACCACCACCACCAGCAGCCTGTCGAGGCGACACGGGGGGGGGGGGGGGGGGCGATCTTTGTCTGAGTAGTCACGTGATTGTGGCGGAGGGAGCCTCACACAGTACACACACAGTACACACACATTACACACAGTACAAACACATTACACACATACATTACACAGTACACACACTTACACACACATTACACACACACACACAGTACGCACAGTACATACACATTACACATAGTACACACACACACATTACACACTCAGTACACACACAGTACACATACACACACAATACACACACATTACACACAGTACAACAACAACCGCCATTCGCCACTAAGTGGCGGTGACGTCACCACGACGCTTGTGCCAGGCCAAGTGCACCTTGAGGCCACGCGAAGTGTCGAACGCCCGCTGGCAGGAGGTCACGGGGCAGACCCAGCAGGTGCCACGGGTCGACTGACCGAGATGACCGAGATGACTGGCTGATGCACCACCTGTGCCCCCTACTGTACCAACTTGCTGTGCTTTAGCCACCAGGCGCTCCGCTCGTTGTTGTGAGCGTCGCTCCTCCGCCCTCCGTTGTTGTTGGAGGGCGACTGCTTCCAACTGCCCAGTAGCGTCCTTCACGAGCCTCCTCCACAGAGGCCGATCTTGACTCCGCTGGTACCAGTCATCGGCAAGTCCACTCAGCTCCACGTCCTCCTGTACCACATCACTCCATCTCTTCTCTAGCCCGTGCCGCGCCCGTTTAGCCCCCTCGATCCGGCCGAACAAAAGCTGTTTAGGCATGCGGTGGCTGGGCATGCGGGCTACATGACCCAGCCAACGCAGCCTTGCCTGCCGGAGGAGCTCACCGATGGGACTTTGACCAGATCTTTCAAGGATTTGTGATGTCCTCACAATCCAGCCTGGTTAAACCCAGGATGGATCGTAGGCAGGCCAGCCTAAATGTTTCCAACACACACATACACACACACAGTAAACATAGCTCACACGCAGTACACACATAGTACACACACATTACACACACATACACACATTACACACATACGTTACACACAGTACACATACACACACATTACACACACAGTACACACACATTACACACACAATAACACACAGCACGCACATAGTACAAACACACTACACATACATCATACAGCGTTGTGCAATACCTGAATCTATAGAGCTGTGGGTGAGGAGGGTGCGGGGTGGGGGGGTGTATGGGAGGGGAGACAAAGGCGGCCGGGCGTGGTGCTGACCACTCACCCACCTCGTGTGCCGTGCAGGCCTTCATAGGTGCTACTCGCTAACAGCACTTTCCCGAGCAATCTGTGAAGGCTACACGGGTGGCCTTTGTTTGTGTGGGGGTGTGGAGGGGGGGGGGTGCTGTGTGGGGCTGCACATGAAAGGCGAGGAAGGAGCGGTCCTGCTGCCCGGGGTGACCACGTGACGAGGCGCGTGCGTCCGTCACTTTGAATCGTGGGGGGCAGGCGGAGGGGCGTGGGGGGGGGGCAGGGGGGGAGGGGGGGGCGGGGGGAGGGCCCCTCCCCCTCCCCCTCTCCACGTGGCGTGCGAGCCTCCCACTCCTCCTCTCGCCCTCTCTCCGCGTGGCGTCGCTGTTTGCGAGACATCACCATCACCACCATCACCAACATCATCTTCATCACCACCACCACCAACATCATCTTCATCACCACCACCATCACCATCATCTTCATCACCACCACCATCACCATCATCTTCATCACCACCACCATCACCACCACCAACATCATCATCACCACCACCACCAACATCATCATCATCACCACCACCATCACCAACATCATCACCATCAACACCACCACCATCATCATCTTCCTCCTCCCCGTCGGTGCCGAGCCTCATTTCCCCGCTCCTCATCCACCACGGACGCGTCCTGAGCGAGTGCGGGGGAGACGGAGGAGGAGGGAGGGGTGCGGGGGGATGAGGTGTGGGGGTGGTGGTGGTGGTGGTGTGGGTGGTGGTGGGGGTGGTGGTGGTGGTGGTGGTGGTGCTGGGTGCTGGAATCGGCTGAGTTCGCCACCCGGCACCGTTCTCTTTGGCTTCGTTTGGAGGCATTCTGGGATGAGTCACGGGAGCCGTGTGGGGTGGCGGGGGAGAGAAATAATAAAGGGCAGGGGAGGGGAGGGCGGACAGGGAGGGGGGAGATCACGAGAGAGGAGATGTTGAAAGACGCCGAGGTTAATCATCTCCTGCATGGCTGCGTGTGTTCGTTCACAGGAGCTGGGTCACAGAAGCGAGAGAGAGGCACCACAAAGAGAGAGAGAGAGGCAGGCACCCCCGAGGAAGGAGTGCGACCCCCCAAATAGGGATCGCCCCCCCTCCCCCAGGAAGAGAGCTGGGAGTGTGAGAGGCCACGGACGGGTGCCGCGCGGTGCGTGCCATGACTCTCCGCGCCACGTGGCCGCGCGCGCGTCTTGTCTGGCGGCGGCGGCGGAGGAGGAGGAGGGGGACACGGGCGGCGCGGGCTGCCGCAGGCCGCGTAGCGCTCGCGGCCGCCATGCGGGCCCGCGGAGTCCACCCCGGGGGCCCGGCGAGCGCGCGGACCGGGAGCGGCGGCCCGCCGCCGTGGTTCCGCGTGGCGCTGCTGCTGTGGCTGACGGCGCGGGCCGTGGCGGGCGACTGCTGGATAGTGGAGAGCGACCGCAACATGGTGCCGCGCGCCATCTGCAACCAGAACACGCCGCCCTTCGACGCGATCCCGCGCGGCCTCAACGGCTCCATCGCCGACTTGCGGCTCAACCGCAACAAGATCCGCGCGGTGGCGCGCGACTCGCTGTCGCGGTACCCGCACCTCGTCCACCTGGACCTCTCGCGCAACCTCATCGCCGACGTGGAGGAGAGCGCCTTCTCGGCGCAGCCGCGCCTCCGCGTGCTGCTGCTCGGCCACAACCGCCTGGAGGTGCTCACGGCCTTCACCTTCGCGGGCCTGCCGCACCTGCGCGAGCTGCAGCTGCAGGCCAACCGCCTGCGGCGCGTCGAGCCGCTCGCCTTCCGCCAGAGCATCGCGCTCGTCGCCCTCGACCTCGCGGGGAACCGACTCGCGGCGCTCGACGCGGCGGCGCTGGCCGGGCCCGAGCGCCTCGAGTCGCTGGAGCTGCACGGCAACCCGCTGCACTGCGAGTGCGAGCTGCACGGCCTGCTGCTGTGGATGTACGCGCACATCAACGCCTCCTCCGCCTCCTCCTCCGCCTCCTCGTCCCACGTTTCCTCTCCTGCGGTGGCGTCGTGGGAGCGGCTGTCCTGCTACTCTCCGCCCGCCATGAAGGGAGTGCCGCTGCTGCGGACGCGCGCCGCCGCCAGCCACCACCGCAGCGCCGTTCGCGAGCTGGCGGCCTGCAGGGATCACGTGGCGCCGCCAGCGCCACCAGCGCCCACCGCCGCTGCCAGCGACCCCCCGGGCGCGGGGTCGCGGCGGCCGGGCGGCGGCGGCGGCGAGGAGGAGGAGGAGGACAGTACGGACGGGGGCTCGGGGATGGCCACGGACGTGGGCCTCCCGGGCAGGAGGCCGACCCCCGCGGGGCCCGTGAGGGGGAAGGCGCTGCCCTCGCTGCAGCTGGTGTCTCAGGCCCGCACGTTCGCCGTGCTGCGGGTGCAGATCCCCGACCCGTTCGACAAGATGTACGTGCTGGCGCACTACAACCGCTCGGCGTACAGCGACGTCAAGAACTTGCGGCAGAACCGCGAGGAGGTCCGCGTCGAGGGGCTGAGCGCGCACCGCAACTACACCTACTGCGTCGTCTCCGTGCGCCACGCGCGGCGCACCAAGCACGCGTGCCTCGACTTCCGCACGCCGGGGGGGGCGCCGCGCGCCGGCGGGGGGGGCGCGCGCCGCACCATCGCGCTGCTCGGCTGCGGCCTCGGCCTCCTCTTCCTGCTCGCCGCCGCGGCGCTCGCGCTCCGCCGCCGGCTGTGCGGCGCGCGGCGCGGGCCCGGCGACGGCGCGGGGGGCCCCGGGAACGGCGCCGGGGGCGCCTCCAAGGCGGAGCTCGTCAAGGGGAGCGACGTGGAGGAGGCGGCGGGCGGGGGGGGGCTCGACCCGCGCATCCCCCCCCCCGCGCCCCCCGCGCCCCCCGCCGACGCCAAGGCGGACGAGGGGAGGGACGAGGGGAGGGACGCGGGCGGCGCGACCAAGCGAAGCTACATGGAGGTGCGGGCCCCCGCCGAGGCGCCGGCGGAGACTCGGGCCGTCGCGGGGGTCGCGGGGGCGGCCGAGCGGCGGGGATCGGCGGCCGAGATCTCCACCATCGCCAAGGAGGTGGACCGCGTCAACCTCATCATCAACAGCTGCATCGACGCCCTGCGCGCCGAGGCGCCGCCGCCGCCGCTCTGCGACTCCTCGTGCTCCGCGCCGCTCCTGCTGCTCGCCGGCGACGTGCACGCCGAGCCGCGCTCCCACGGGCCCCAGGGACCGCTCGGGCCACAGGGACCCCACGGGCCCCAGGGACCCCACGGGCCCCAGGGACCCCACGGGCCCCAGGGACCCCACGGGCCCCAGGGACCCCACGGGCCCCAGGGACTCCTAGGGCCCCAGGGACCCCACGGGCCCCAGGGACTCCTAGGGCCGCAGGGACCGCTCGGGCCGCAGGGCTTCCAGGTGCCCGCGACCCCCCCGTCCATGGGAACGCGGGGCTCTTACGTCCCCATGGCGGCGTGCGGACACGCGGGGGCCGCGCCGCTGGCGCCTGGGTCAAAGCGGGCGCGGGGTGGCGGCGCGGGGGGATCGGAGGGTCGGGGGGGCCCGGGGGCCCAGGGCAGGCAGGTGGATACGGGGCTCCGCGTCGCGGAGTCGGGCGGAGGAGAGCGCTCCGCTGCGTGCGCTCCGCTGCCCGGCATGCACGACCCCACGCGGCCGCCCCCGCCGGCCCCGGCTCGGGGCGGCGCGGGCCCCGAACCTCCGGGCCCCTTCGGCCCCCGCGGACACGCCGCCGTGGGCCCGCGGCGCGCGCCGTGTCCCGGCGCGGAGCCGCGGGAGGCGGCCGCGGTGAGGCGCTCCCCCGGGAGCCCCCCGCCGTGCCGGCCCGGGCTGCGGCGCGGGCCCGGGATCCGGGCCTACGCGTCCAGCCCGGAGTGCGGGGGGGGCGCCGAGCTGAGGCCCGGGGGCCCGCGGGGGCTGTGGGCCCGGATTCGGAGGCCCCTGCGAAGGAGGGCCCCGTGGGGCCCCGAGATGGAACCCATCGCCGCGGGACACGCGCTCAAGCGCAAGGTGCAGCTGGCGCGACACGAGGACCTTCACGACATCCTGGCCTACTGGAAGGGCGTGGGGGCCCAGCGGCGATAATTAGGGGGGGGGGCATCCCCTACGCGACCCCCCTCGCCGTTCCCGCGATGAGACCCCCCCCCCCCACACACACCGCCGACCTCTCCTGGGCTCCTGTCTTCCTCCTTCATCGCCGCCAGCCTCCACCCCCCCACACACACCAAGTGGCATGAGATTCGCACTTGACCTCTCTGACCCCAAGCGACACGCGATAACGGCTCGGGAACCCCCGAACGGGGTCCCTGAAAGGGGATCCTGGGAATGGGATCCCCCTCTGTGCCCCCCCCCACCCCCCGTATCTCCTTGTGCGCGTGCCTGCGTTGCCTGAAATGTTTAAGTGCGTAACCCCCTCCCCCACTCCACCCCGTGACCCCCTCGCCCCCCCTCCTATTCCTTGTGCGCGTGCCCGTGTTTGTCCCGTCCGCGTCCCTCCCCACTCTCCCCCCCGCTGCTGCATGTCCCCCCCCTCACCCCCTCCGGTTCTCCCCCCCCCCCACACTCCCCCCTCCCCCACACTCCCCCCTCCCCCATCCCAGTTTCTCTCCCCCGATCCGCCCCCCGCCCCCCTCCCCCCGCCCGACCCCACGTCTCGTGCTCGTCTCCCAGTGTCGCCGTCGCCGCCGCCGCCGTCACTCACGATTGTCACCTCGACTGTAAATAAACGTCTCCGTTTTTAATTCCCCGCCACGGAGACTCGAGTCCAGTCAGCCGGTGACAGATGCCGCCGCCGCGTGGAGACGCTCGCGGAGACGAAAATCCTATTCCCGACAACCGGGGCAAGTGGACGCTCGTGCGAGTGGCAGCGTCGCTGAGCGCACAAGGGGGTCGGTTCTGTCTTGCACCGCATGCCACCGACTTCGTCTCGCCCTTTGCTGATGCTCGACCTGGGCGAAGCCCCACCACGGCTGGGTAGGGATGTCACTTGTCACTGATGATTGTGGCCATGGCCGGGAAATCGAACTCCGTTGGCCGAGTTCGTAGCGCGGTGCGCTAACCGCTGCACCGCCGCTCCTTTCCACGCACACTAACACACACACACACACTGCCCACAAACACACACACGCCTCGTATAGACACACACACACTCCAAATGCATCGTTTCACGCCGTCGAAAACTTGGGTAAATTAAGAATTTCCATAGAAATTCCAAAAACCAATCATCGTCAGCCACGATCTTCAGTTCCACTACTGGATTGGAGACCTCCCCCCCCCCCCCTAAGCCGTCGCCACCCATCGCGGCCCAGCGGATGCCACCGCCATCCACCCGCAGCATCCGCAAACGATGTCGCTTCCCTCCGCTCCGTAGTGCCCGAGGTGGGCCCCGAGGGCCCAGAGAGGCGCGCTGGGGGGTCCAGGATCCTCCCGAGAGACGCGGCGTCCACGAGGCGATGCGCGTGTCCCCCCCCCCCGTACACCGTGCGACTCCCCCCGGCCCCCCCTCCCTCCCTCCGGCCCCCCCTCCCTACCCACCCACCCAGCACCCACGACGGGAGGGGCCCCTCTGTGTTGTGCGTCACAGAGTTGTGCCTCGAACTAGGAGCCAGAGCTTCACACTGAGAGTGGCGGGGGGGGGGGGGGTCCATGTCGATAGACAGACATCCGGGCAGATCGCCAGCAGCGTTGGTTTTGAAGCGAGTCTGCTGATGAGACACTGGATGTCGAAACCGGTACGGCGTTTGCTTTTTGAAAGAAAAAAAACCCCAGTGCTGTTGAGAAAATTGTGGGGTATGGGATGTGTCAGACAGATGCGGGGGCAGGGGCGGGGAGGCTGACTGACAGTGGAGGCCCCACGAGTGAACGAAGTCGTCCAGCGACGTTAAAGAGCGGGGGGCGGGCACGGTCAGGGGGGCGACCAGAAACTCGCGGCGGGGGAGGAGGGGCCGATGGACGTTCATCAAACCGCACTTCTCAGCAATCACTGGCGTGTAGGTTGGGGGGCGGCGGGGGAGGGGAGGGGGGGATGAGCAGGTTGGTGAATATTTAATGAAGAACCACACGATTTATTTATGAAGGAGGAGAAAGATAATTTTAATTGGAAATGTCTTTCCGAGATTGCAAAAGTGCGAGCCGGGAGAAGCGAGCGAGGCGCGAGCCGGTCGCTTGGAGGGAGGTGGTGGTGGTGGGGGTGGTGGGGGGGGGGTTACGACACAATGCTTTGCTTGCGCCAATTGCCCAAACCAAAGAGCAACGACGTCGAGTTGATGCCGATGTGATGAGCAACACGAACGCGTTTAGATTGTGTGGGTGGGGGGCGGGTGGGGGGTGGAAGTTGTCTGCCCGTGGCGCGGTGCCTCGCGTCGAACTCCACAGTGGCCCGAACGCACGTGGCAGCGCCCATTGAACCCAAACCACGTGGGGCGTCGCGTCACACACGGGAAGAGTGGCGGGTTGCCACCTGTCCAGGGTTACCCGGGGCCGTCCCGTTTATTCGTGTGGTGGCTGAGACGCTGTCTTGCCGGGGACGTTTAGAGTCCCGGATTGTGTCCGTTACGTCGTGATGATGATGGTGGTGATGATGATGGTGATGATGATGGTGATAGTGGTGATGATGGTGATGATGGTGGTGCTGATGATGGTGCTGATGATGGTTCCTGATTATGGTGATAGTGGCGATGATAATGTTGATGACCATGGTCGTCTTGATGGTGACAATGTTGGTGATAATGGTGGTGATGATGGTGGTGGTGATCGTGATGATGATGATGGTGGTGGTAGTGATGATGATGAAGATGGTGGTGATAATGGTGGTGATAATGGTGGTGATGATGGTCTGGCGAATTGCCCGATGATGCTGGATGCAATTACCAGCGAAACGTCGTACTCAAATTGTAAATGTTGTGGCTTCAACACACCGGTGGGCTAAAGCAGTGAACTATTTGTCTTTTGTCAACGAGACACTTTTTTACTGATTGGCCGTGTCGGGTGGTGGAGGGTTACGACACATTTATAAATAACGCGATCTAAACCCAAAAACGTTGATTATGAATAACATTGGTCGCGAAAGCCTACGTGTTAAACTGGTGATGATGGCGGTGGTGATGATGATGGTGATGATAGTGGTGATGATGGTGATGATGATGATGGTGATGATGGTGGTGATGATGGTGGTGATGATGGTGGTTGTGATGGCGATGATGGTGGTGGTGATTATGGTGGTGGTGATGATGATGATGGTGGTGATGATGGTGGTGATGATGGTGGTGGTGATGATGATGGTTGTGATGGCGATGATGGTGATGGTGGTGATGATGATGGTGGTGGTGATGATGATGGTGGTGATGATGGTGGTGATGGTGATGATGGTGGTGATGGTGATGATGGTGGTGGTGGTGATGGTGATGATGGTGGTTATGATGGTGGTAGTGATGATGATGGTGGTGATAATGGTGGTGGTGGTGGTGATGATGATGGTGATGATGATGGCGGTGATGAGGGTGATGATGATGGCGGTGATGATGGTGGTGGTGATAATGATGGCGGTGTTGATAGATGATCCACCACGCAAGGCGGCGTCTCTCCTCTTCCTTTTCTTCTTCCTCCAAGGATAAACCCCCGGGGTTTCACACTTCACGAGGAGCGGTGGCGCAGTGGTTAGCGCTGCACTGCGCTACGAACCCGGCGACCCGAGCTCGAAATCCCTTTTACGACCAATAACAGTGACAGCGAATATCTGAATCCCAGTCCCTTGCTTTTCCTCTGCCGATTCAGTCTCAGATGGGTCCAGGGCACGGTGTGGAAACATCAACATTGGGGAGACAAAGACGGCGAGGCGTGGTGCTGGCCACCCACCCCAGGACCTCAATAGGCGCTCACTAACAGAACGTGCCCCAACAGCCTCTGCAGGCTACACGGGGATCATTTGGTCTTTGTCGCACGTGGAGTAATCAATCATGGCTCCGTACGTAACGTGAACCGCGCGCCTCACCTCCCTCTGCCCCCCTCTCACCTCTCGCTCACCCCCCCCCCCCGGGTTCATCTGTGGAGAGACAAATAGGGCGGTGGGGGGACAGCATCGTCCTCCAATCGGTTACCGCCTCCCGCGACCCCCACGCCGACGCCGCTGCGAGAGACGACGTCTCGGCCGAGCTCCGTGGGAGTTTGCGTGCAGCCCACCGGGGAAGCTGTGTGATCCGCGTTCGGGCGACGGCAGGGGAAGAATCCACGTTGTGCCGAGGTCTGGTCCACAGCCGTTGCCGCGTCGAACTTGGCTACAGGACACTCGCACGGATGATCCGCGCGGATGCTCCGTGCGGATGATCCGCGCGTGTGTTTGGGTTCGGCCACGCGGTGGCGGTGATTTTTATGCCCAAAAAAATGTATCGCCGTTAACCCCTCCACCACCCGACGAGATTGTCGCGTTGACGCCCACGTTGCTCTCGACACGAGGCCATGAGTCGATCCGACTCCGATTGACAGAGCCCCCCCCCACTCCCCAGGCTCCCCCTCCCCCCTCCCCATGCTCTCCCGAACTTCAACACCAAAGCGCCTCGACGTTTCGCTCAAGCTGCCCTTACCTCCATCAGGCGGTGAGCTCGGAATCGGGGAGGGGGCGAGGTGGAGCCGCTTCTCTCTGCTCCACACTGCTTCCTACTGCTTAACACTGCTTCCCACTGCTTCCCACTGCTTACCACTTCTTCCTACTGCTTCCCACTGCTTACCACTGCTTACCACTGCTTCCCACTGCTTACCACTGCTTCCCACTGCTTCCCACTGCTTACCACTGCTTACCACTGCTTACCACTGCTTCCCACTGCTTACCACTGCTTACCACTGCTTACCACTGCTTCCCACTGCTTCCTACTGCTTAGCACTGCTTACCACTGCTTCCTACTGCTTACCACTTCTTATCACTGCTTCCCACTGCTTCCCACTGCTTACCACTGCTTCCCACTGCTTCCCACTGCTTCCTACTGCTTAGCACTGCTTACCACTGCTTCCTACTGCTTCTCTCCAAGCTCCATACTGCTTACCACTGCTTCTCACTGCTTCTCTCAAGCTCCTCGCTGCTTCCCACTGTTTCGATTTAAAGCTTTCGTGACTGCAGGGATTCATCTTCTTGGTTCTTTCGGTAAAGTCACGTAGAAGGGAAATAATACAATAATGAAAATAAAACATAATAAAATTCAATTCTCACGGCGTTTCGGCCACAACGCAAGCAGCCGTCAGACCTGTTCTTCACCTGAGGACGGCTGCTTGCGTTGTGGCCGAAACGTCGTGATAATTTTATTTTAGCATGTTTTATTTTTGTTATTTTATTATTTCCCTTCTACGTGACTTTACCGAAAGAACCAAGATGCTTCGCACTGCTCCTCTCCAAGCTCCTCATTGATTTTCATTGCGTCTCTCTGCTCACTGTCGGCATCACTTGCATGAGCCTCGCCGCATCCTCACCACCACCACCATCATCATCATCTTGTCTCCAAAGGCCCCTTCAATCCCTATTAATGTATTTCTCTTGTACCCTCGGGGTGTCTCCACGAGTTGGTGGGGTGCTGTTATTGAGTGCTTAGGGGCCGTCCATAAATGACGTCACGCACCTACGGGGGGGGGGTCAGACATTTGGGACGCCGTGTGACGACGGGGGGGGGGGGGGGTAAAAAATCGTCCAAAATCGCGTGACGTCATTTATGGACGGCCCCTTACTGGGATGCGTTGTTCTCTCTGCGGACACTCCATCTCTCTTGTTTGCCTCAGCACAGCGCTCTTCACGACCTCCGGATGAACGCCTCTAAGTGTTTACAAGTGTGCATGATTGCTGTTGTTATTACTTACTACTACTACCACCACTACTCCTGCCCTGCTGCCAGCTGCGAGAAACCCGGGCTGGCAGATGCAGAGCGGTGACGCTCGTGCAAGTGCTGCTGATTGTGTAGCAGAGGGGAGTGAGGATGCAGTCAGGGAGCAAGCAGAGAGCGGCGGGGGAGAGAGGCAGACACGAGCTGGCGGGGCCCCCCTAATGAAGCGAATAAATCAGAAGAGGAGCCACGGGCGAACAGCGACGCCATGGATCACGCGACGAGCGCCAAGCATAATTGATCAGCGGTAGGGGAGGAAGTGGAGCTTGGGACGCAGTGGTGGAGGAGGTAGGTGGGTGGGTGGGTGGGAGGAGGGTTATACCGCATTTTGCTGAGTATCGTACGGGACACCCTCGTCGGAAAGAAGATGCTCCATCTCGAGGGGGTTTTCCACGTGGAATATTTTAATAAAATATCAGATTTCACTGGGATTTATGATGTACGTTGCACTTTTTTTAGTATGGGTCTGATATGGGATTTGTATGGGTGTGGTATGGGATTTGTATGGGTCTGATATGGGATTTGTATGGGTCTGATATGGGATTTGTATGAGTCTGATATGGGATTTGTATGGGTGTGGTATGGGATTTGTAT